TTGAAAATCAAACCACTTGAAAACTAGAGGACCTTCAAGCTGAATTCTTTATTCAAGAAGATTTGAAGACCCGAAGAATGAAGGTTCGAAGATTCGAAGAACGAAGATTCGAAGACCCGAAGAACGTTCGAATATTTGAAGAATTAGAGATTTAATTTTTAATTAAATCCTTTAATTATATTCATATCAAATTGCAAGTGAAGAATCAGAGGATTCATATTTAGAGATTGTACCTGATATTATTTGAATATTTGAAGAATATTTTATTTTCATATATTATTATTTGCGATCAATTTTAAGTAAATACTTAAAATTTGTTTCACAATAGGTATATATCATTTTTCAAAAAAATAAAATTGACACCACTAAAAAAAATAGATATTGCTTAATATAAGACTAAAACATACACAAAGTAAAATAAATAGGAATTATTGTGTTGTATTCTTCAAATAAGGCTTATTTAGTTCTATCAAAAGAATAACATGATTAAAACTTCCAAAATAGGAGCGAATGAGTCCTTTTATAATCTTTCAAAAATTAAAAAGTGACACAACCATTTAAAAATTGGATTGGAGGTCAGTGTATATATTATAAAAGTTGGAACACTGACTTAAAAATAATTGAAAATTGTACAGTTTTACTTATTACTACCTCCATCCCAATTTCTGTGTCTTGTTTTGGTTTGACACAATGATAATAAAGTGATTGAAAAACTGATAATGTTAATCAAGTTTGAGTATAATAAAGTGAAATGTTATAGATCACATATTTTTTTATAAAAGAAACATGACACCTATTTTAGAATAATCCAAAAAAAAATTAAGACATGTGAAATGAGACAAGCGATACTTTATTAGGAATATTACTATATTAGACAAGGTGTCATAGTCTTCTTGCTTTAAAATTTGAATCATTTGATCGACACTTTATAGAAAAAATGTATAACGTTTTTAAAATATGAAAATGTGACGTGCACAATTTTGAATTAGCATTTAAATTTTATAAATGACAATTTTTGTTATTTTGCTTTATAATATTTACACATTTTAATATAATAATTATTTTTCAATTGACACCGCTGACCCTAGATCCTTGCTCCGCCACTGCCCCCAACACCGACCGGACGACACGATGAGAGGATGTAAATTGGACTATAATCACAATCTGACAGATAGAGAGTGGGGCTCTGTCCCCGGTACTTGCAGAAGCCCTATGCATTTTTCAGCATAGTAACCCCTCATCGCAGTTGCCGGGATTCGAACCCGAGACCTAACCCTTGTGGCACTCCCTCACTACCAGTTGAGCTACGCCCACCGGTTTTGTGATGTAAACCGAGAAGCTCATTAGTGTACCGGTCCTTCATGGAGAGGGGAAAAAGAAGTACATCAGCTCTGGAATTAATAAAAAAAGTGCAAATCATCCTTATATAGGAGGTTTTATCCGACCGTCGTCATTGGGCCGGTTCCTGCTTGAATTTTTATGAATTTTTTTAGCATCTTCTTAAGTCTAGTTTACCCATACCAAGTCTCAGCTAAAAATTCAACCGGGAAGGCAATCAAATGATTTTTTGAAATATACTGCACTGTTTAACTGCGCAGTTATCTTCAAAAATTCATTTGACTGCCTTCTCGATCAAATTTTTAGCTGAAATTTGGTATGAGTAAATTTGACTTAATGAAGAAGATGCTCAAAAAATTTCATCAAAAAATTCAACAAGGAACCGCCCCAATGTGACGACCGGACAGAGTCTCCTATATAAGGGGTGATTTACACTTCTTTTGTTAGTTCGAGGGCTGATTTGCTACTTTTCCCTGGGGAGTGTAAGAGAGTGTTTGCAAATGATTTTGCTTAAGAGCCGTTTGGTAACACAAAAATTGGCTGAGTTGGCTGATTCTGCTGAAATTTATGAAGTTCTGGCTGAAGTGACCATATTGACTGATTCTGCGGATTAATGAAAAAAATTTATTTGAAATATTTGTTATTAATAAATTAAATAAAAAATCATATGAAAAATAGGTAAAACGGTTCTCTACAGTAACTTCGGTCAATACAGCCAGAAAAGTAACTTCAACCTTATCTTTTCTGCTTATTACAAAAGTAAGCGCGTGTAAGCAAAAATTACAGGTTTGGTGAAAAAGCTGGCCGAAAAAAGGGGGCACCATTTGTGAAATACTTGCATGCGAATACAGACATTTGTTATACGTACACAAACAAATAAAGTTGTCCGGTCACACAAACATTAAACAACCCATAAAAACATTCCCACATTTCTAAGGAATTCCTATGCTTCCTACACCCTCTTCAATCGCCACAAACGAACATCGTATTGACATCTCTTGTTCCACATGTTTGCATATTCACACTCTAGAACCAAGGGCTTTCCCATTAACAGGTGCTCTACAAAGGATGCAATCATCGCTCCACATTCTTCGGACCTGTGGACAGACAAGTATAACGAAGACAGATATTTACGACACTTATACAGACAATTTATGTATTGTAATAAAGGTTGAATTGAATACCTTACAGACAACTCAGAAGGTTTGTCAGACAACTAATTTCACATGACAGACAACTACAACCCTAGTTTCAACAGTTCAAAATGAAATGATAGACAACTCAGAAGGCTTACGAGACAATGACCGGGCTAAACTTGCAAGTGTACAAGTGCCGATATAGTAATAAATTCCGGTAAAATACCGGGTCGAATCCACAGGGAAACGTTGTTTAATTTAGTCCGAGAGTAGATGACTTTAAATAAATAAATGAGTAAAGTGCAGAGATTTTGAGTTGTGTGTTGTTGTAAAAACAACTTGATTCTTCTTTTTAATTTTCAGAGATATAACTAAAATTAATTTGATTAAAGTGATTGATAACAACAACTAAGGCTTCGGGAATCACTTAAATGCTTTAATAGGGTTGAATATTAGTTCTTTACCAAAAATTATGAATACGATGTCGCTAATATATTCTCAACTCCGGTTAAGGCAGCGAGAGCGTGGTTTTCGTTACGTGTAAGTCCCGTTACGGCTTACATTCATCTACCGAAAACCCCGTTGAATATCAAGACATCACACCCGTATCATATAATACCGGATATATTTCTATTCTCGGTAATATATATGTTTATCCTTTAATGTTCATAGTTTAGACTTCAACGTTAATTGCAAGCATAAACTAAGTTTAACATACTTCTATGTTGTACACCATAAACAATCAAAATGTAAAGGATAAATCACAATTTATTGGTTTAGAACTTTTATCAAACACCTAGTGGGCATAGAAGTTCATCCCTAGCCTTAGCTAAGAACTTAGCCTCTAATGCTCATATTAATTACAAAAGTGTAACTAAGATAAAGGAAATACAATAACATACAAGAAATAATACCTAGAACCAATTGTACAGGAGAGAAATGGCTTCTTCTCCAACACTTCAAGAGAATGCAAAAATAAAATATAAAAACTGAAATTTAAGCTTCAAGGATGGATTGATGATCTTGTTTGATGAATTGGGGGCTTTATATAGGCTAAAGATTGACATCTTTTAGTCTATTCGAGCCCAACAATCAAGCATGGAAGATATATTTGATTAGCTCATGAGGAAGATGAGTTTTTTCCATCAATATATCTCAGCACGATCTTTTGTATTTGCAGGATCAGGCCTACCCGGCGCCGGCTATCAGGTCTACCCGGCGCCGGGTAAGCTACTGGATTGGCTGGTGCGAAAATCCAACGGGCCGGCGCCGGGTATAGGGTGGGCCGGCGCCGGGTATCTCCCTTTTTTGTATTTTCTCCACTTTTCGCTCCATTAGACGCCCGTTGTTGACCCCGATGTGCCGGTTCTTGGTCCCTTTTTCCCCATTGACTCTCGTTTCTTCATTTTTGACGTCTAAGTGCGATTTCGCTCAAATTGGGATTTTTATCTGTTTTATCTTTGAAAATTTGTACAGATAATCATAATTACCTATATAAAATATAGATAATTGTTGTGCTTATCAAATTCCCCCACACTTGAGCGTTGCTAGTCCTCGAGCAATGTCGTCACCTTGTATGTTTTGGGTTAGTTTCAACAAAGACATATACAAAAATAAATAAAATTTTTTAAGAGAGGTAAAAGTGGCATATAAACTCTTTTCTCATTCTCGGTCCAAAAACCATTTTTTTTTTAATTAAATACAAAAAGTATCATTTAGATTTAGAAAACTGCTAATACTCTTGAGAATAAAGGAGTGATTTGTGAGTGTGACTCTTTTGGGTGAGTGGGATGGCTTTTTGACTTTCAATTGTATGAATCAATTGAACTACTAAATTGAGACCATGAGTTATTTACTTTTTTTTTTTACTCATTTGAAAAAAAAGGTCTTCAACTAGTATTTACTGAAAGTCATTTGATGATGCCAATTTATTTGATGAGGTGTGAGAATGGGTTTTGTGTTCCAAAATGGTGCTTGAATGTAGTATTGACCATTTTTTTTGGAAATGAAGGAAGGAGATGCTTTCTAGTCACAAGAGTTTATTTTTTTGGGAATAATTTTCAATAATAAAGAGTAGTCTAAAAAAAATGATAACTTTTGTAAATAATAAAAAAAAACTTTCTCAACCAAATACCCTTTAAAAAGAGAAATATAACAATTTTACCTTCCTAAAAAAAAATTATTTTTGCATACAAAATTTGTTTTTAACTACCCATGAGATGCACCCCCCACACTTATAATACATTGTCTCAATGTATTATGCATGATAAACAAGTACTTTCAACAATATCCACAACAAAAGTGTGTTTAGAGGAAAGTAATGTCATGGGAAAATAAAATAAGAGCAGGGGGAGTCACTGGTGTGGGTCGGTAGGGGGGTACCCATGTTGGGAGTAGTAGTAGTTGGTGAATGTGTCGAAACGCTCCTCAAACCTTTGTTGGCGTGCGTCTTGCTCGTCCATCCGTGTGTGCATTCGAGCCATGGAATGCATCAAGTATGCCATCGCGGGATCGGTGGTGTGTGGTGGCTGTGGTGGTTCGGGTGCGGCTTCATCATCATGAGCATCTTCCATGGCCTCCTCGTTTACTTCATCATCATCTCTGTGCAAACCTATGCCGTCGGCAAAATACCATTTTCCAGAGTTGGACAGTTTATGCTTGAGGGCAATCATTGTTTCTTTGTCCAAGACATTAGATTCATTGGTATAAGCAACTTCCTCTCCGTCAAAGTCAACCTGAAAGTGCCTGAAAATCTTGGTGAGTAAAAGCGGGTGACAAAAGTTTTTTGAACCTTGTTTGGAGATCACCACATTTTTCATATTTTTTAGGAGGAGTCGTGGTAGTGGTATCCCTTCTATGTCTCCGAGGCCAACTAGCATCTTTTGAAGAAGGTATAGATCAATCATCCTAACCAAGTGGCGGTCACTAGCATGGGGGACAATGTTGAAACCAATGAGATAGACGAGTAGGCGAGCGCGAATGTGCCATAGATACTTGGTCTGTAGGTTTGTTTTGAGCCCGAAGAACCGCCGTGCATCCGCCTCATTGTAGGAATTGTCACTTAGAATGCCGGTTTGATTGTATTCCAAGGTGGGGCCCGTGTTGCTAACTTCAAGGATGCTTGAGAGGAGGTCCGGGTCAACTTTGATGCGTCTCCCTTTCACCATTGTTTGGATTTCCGCGTATCCGGTCTCTTTGTCCGAGACATTAGCGTAAAACTCCCGGACCAACTGGGGGTAATACGCTCCTGTCAATGTAAGCATCATTGCCCATCCAAAACGGGCGAAGATCTCAGTGAGCTTGAAAACAGCGTCGATGTCCGGGTGTACTGTTTTCTCCTCCACAATTTTCCATTTTTTTCGCTCCTCGTACCACTTTTCATTTTCAACCGAAGTGAAACGGTTGCCGGTGAAGGAGGAAGATGAAGCGCCATGATTTTGTTTTCGTTTAGGGGCCATCCTGCAAGGTTAGAAGAGAAAATAGACACACAACACCATAAACTTCATCAATCCAAGGTATTAATTTCCCAAAATTTCAATTTTAATCTCAAATTATGCAATCAAGATGTGTGGAATGTGTATATATCAATACAAAGTATTTCAATATCATTCAAGTCATCAATTGTGGAAATAATTTGAAATTAAGCAAGAAATTCGGACCTAGGGTTTAAAAAAATGAAAATTTTGCAAGAACTTCCCCCAATTCTCAACTTTAATCTCAAATTTTTGACAAGAATCATGTTTATATTCATCATATGAGCACAAGTAGTCAACTTTTAACAACCATAAACATATAATTCCGCCAAAAATCGAAAAAAAAGAAGGAATTTCGAAAGTTTAGAAAATTTGGGGGTTTTTGCCTTTTTACCTTGAATTGATGGAGAAGAAGCGTGGGGATGATGTTGTGGAGCCTTGGGGGTGATGGAATTGGACTATCTTCACTAAGAACTCGAAATTATGGGAGGTTTTGGGGGTTGTGTGTCGTCGGTTGCGAAGCTCGAATGAAGGGAGGGTTTGTGTTTTGTTTTCGCGTAAGGCAAAAATAAGCCTGGTGTAGATTTAAACGACAGACCCGGCGCCGGCCATCAGGCCTACCCGGCGCCGGGTAAGCTACTGCCTCGCCCCCTGCTTTGTTTTTAAGAGTACCCGGCGCCGGCCATCAGGCCTACCCGGCGCCGGGTAAGCTACTGCCTCGCCAACCTGGAGTGATTTAAGAGAACCCGGCGCCGGCTGGTCAGTGGACCGGCGCCGGTTCGCACATTTTCTTTTCTCTCTTTTTTTTTTGTTCTCAATTATAAATATATATGAATGTGTTTTTTGTAAATGAACATGTTTATTTATAATTGAGTTTTGTTCAATTATAAGTAAAGTATGAATATTTTGTAAAACTAATCATATTTATTTATAATTGATATTATTTTTGTTGGGTTGCCTCCCAATTAGCGCTCAGTTTAACGTCGTAGGCTGGACGCAACATACCTTTTTACTCCTCCAATGGGCAAGCGGTGGTTGCCGAGGTGATATGATACTCCATGTATGGCTTGAGTCGGTGACCATTTACAAGAAATGGTGTTTGGTCACCCTTTTGAATCATCATTGACCCGTATGGTCGGACCTCGGTGATTGTGAACGGTCCCGACCATCGGGATTTTAGCTTTCCGGGAAAAGGCGAAGTCTAGAGTTGAAGAGTAGTACCTTTGGGCCGACGTAGAAGTCCCCCCCGGTTGATGTTTTTATCATGCCAAGCTTTCCTTGTAGATGCGGGAATTCTCATATGCATCCCTTCGGAGTTCTTCAAGTTCTGCCATTTGGAACATCCTCCTTTTCTTTGAGAGTGGAGAATCAATGTTTAGCTTGGAGAGTGCCCACTGTGCTTTGTGCTCAAGTTCTACGGGAAGGTGGCATGATTTTCCATAGACAAGCCGGTATGGTGACATACCCAACGGTGTTTTGTAAGCCGTCCAATATGCCCACAGCGCATCATCTAACTTTAACGCCCAATATTTTCTGGAAGTGGCGACTGTTTTTTCTAGAATTGATTTAATCTCTCGGTTGGACACTTCAACTTGCCCATTGGTTTGTGGATGATAGGCTGCTCCGGTTCGGAAATTGCACCCATATTTCTTTAGCAAGCCAGAAAAATGGGCATTCTTGAAATGTGTGCCATTGTCACTTATGATGGTACGGGGCACACCAAACCGTGAGAAAATGTTTTTCTTCACGAACTCCCCCACACTTTTGCTAGTGTTGTCGGGTAGAGCTATTGCCTCCACCCACTTTGAGACGTAGTCCACGGCCACAAGGATATAGCTTTTCCCATATGAGTTAGGGAAAGGTCCCATGAAATCCAATCCCCACACATCAAAGAGTTCAACCACAAGGATCATATTTTGAGGCATTTCATTCCTCCGGCTAAGATTTCCGGTTCTTTGACATCGGTCACACGCTTTCACATAACTCCTTGCATCTTTGAATAATGTTGGCCAGAAAAGACCACATTGGAGGACTTTTGCCGATGTTCGGTCCGGTCCATGATGACCACCACAAGGAAGGTTGTGACAATGGTTTAAGACGGACATGATTTCCTCATCGGGTATGCATCTTCTAACAATTCCGTCGGCACAATGTTTGAAGAGATATGGTTCATCCCAATAGTAATGCTTTACATCACTTAGGAATTTTTTTCTTTGATGGAAAGTGAGTGATGGAGGTATAATTTCTTTTGCAAGAAAATTAACAAAATCAGTGAACCATGGTAGTTGTACCTCTTTGATTGCCATGATTTGCTCATATGGGAAATCATCTCTTATCTCTTCTTCCTTGGGGTTGGGGGTGCCTTCAAGTCGTGAAAGATGATCCGCCACAAGGTTTTCACTCCCCTTCTTGTCTCGGATTTCAAGGTCAAATTCTTGGAGTAATAAAACCCAACGAATTAACCTTGGTTTGACATCCTTCTTGTTCATGAGATATTTGATGGCGGAGTGATCGGTATAAACAATCACTTTTTGGCCAATGAGGTAAGACCGGAATTTGTCAAAAGCATAAATGACGGCTAGAAATTCCTTCTCGGTGGTGGCATAATTGAGCTCCGCATCATGAAGTAACCTCGATGCATAGTATATGGCATGAAGTTTCTTTTCTTTTCTTTGCCCAAGTACCACTCCGATAGCATGATCGCTAGCATCACACATCAGTTCGAATGGAAGAGACCAATCCGGTGATGTAATAATAGGGGTCGTGGTAAGAGCTTCCTTTAAAGTGTTGAAAGCCTTAAGCCGAGTTGGAGTGATTTCAAAAGGAGCATCCTTGGCTAATAAATCGCATAGAGGTTTAGCGATTTTTGAAAAATCTTTAATGAATCGCCGATAGAAACCGGCATGCCCTAGAAAGCTTCGGACAGCTTTCACCGAATGTGGAGGGGGTAGCTTCTTTATGACTTCAATTTTTGCTTGGTCGACTTCAATGCCTTTGGGAGAAATTTTGTGCCCCAAGACAATCCCCTCGGTTACCATGAAATGGCATTTCTCCCAATTGAGAGCCAAGTCGGTTTCTTCACACCGAGTTAACACTTTCTCAAGGGAAAGTAAGCATGAGTCAAAAGAATTCCCCAAAACAGAAAAGTCATCCATAAATACCTCCATGAAGTCTCCCACCATGTCCGCAAAAATTGCCATCACACATCTTTGGAATGTCCCGGGGGCATTGCATAACCCGAATGGCATCCTTCTATAGGCGAATGTGCCAAAAGGACATGTGAATGTTGTCTTTTCTTGGTCCTCGGGAGAGATAGCTATTTGAAAATAGCCGGAGAACCCATCCAAGAAACAAAAGAACTCATTTCCCGCAACACGCTCTAGCATCTCATCCATGAATGGAAGGGGAAAGTGGTCCTTCCTTGTGCCGGAGTTCAATTTCCGGTAGTCTATGCACATCCTCCAACCGGTGACCATTCTAGTAGGAAATAATTCATTCTTACTATTGGCTACCACCGTGATTCCACCCTTTTTTGGAACGACTTGAACGGGGCTTACAAATTTACTATCCGAAATGGGGTAAATTATGCCATAGTCAAGGAGTTTGAGAACTTCCTCCTTAACTACCTCTTTCATGTTGGGGTTTAGCCTCCTTTGATGCTCCACCGTGGGTTTGTGATTCTCCTCCATAAAAATCCGGTGCATACAAAGAGAAGGGCTAATACCCTTAATATCCGCCAAGGACCATGCAATAGATGTTTTGTGATCCTTCAATACCCGTAGTAATTTTTCTTCTTGAAGAGATGTGAGTGAAGAAGAAATTACTACCGGGAAAGTTGAGTTGTCTCCAAGAAATGCATATTTGAGGTGCTCCGGTAAAGTTTTCAAAGATGGTTTTGGTGGGACCTCAAGAGATGGTTTTAATGTGGACTTACTTGTTCCAAGATCTTCAAACTTTTGTCGAAATTGTTTGAAAGGGGCTCCGGCTTGTAAGTACATAACTTCCTCAAGAAGTTCATGGCTTTCTTCTTTTTCATTGCATCCTAGCATGATGCAAGTCTCCAAAGGGTCTTCATGAATGATTTTCCCAAAACACTCTTTAGCCAAAGTGTCAAGAATGTCAATGTTAAAACAGGAGGGATCATCATGGTGCTTCTTCAAAGAATCCCAAACATGGAACTCTTGCTCTTCATCTCCAACACAGAATTTGATAATTCCGTTCTTGACATCAATAAGGGCAGCTGCGGTGGCTAAAAATGCCCTTCCAAGAATGATAGGGATCTCCATTTCCTCCATCTCCAAAATAAGAAAGTCCACAGGAAAGTAGAATTTTCCAACCTTAACAAGCACATCCACCATAACTCCAATAGGGTAGCGAATTGATCTATCCGCAAGTTGTAAGGCTATGGTGGTTGATTGAAGTCCCCCCACACCAAGCTTTTTAAATAAAGAATGGGG